TGATATTTTTGATATTTCAAGTGCTCAAATCACCGGCACTGTTTTTTCTGAACAAGTCCACGCGGACTGTCCACGAGGGGCTGACTTATGAGTTATGTATCCTGCTTATTTAAAAAAAAAAAGGTGCGGACAAGGCCATTTTTAATTTAACTTAAATATGCGAGACCTCCGGTGTCAGACGCTTCCGATTGTTTTAACTGCACAAAAACAGTGCAACACACTGGTTTGTTGAACAACTAGTTGTACCGTTTACAGCACGTGCTTCATAGGCAACTGACGCTATCTTGCGTCACAGTAATAGGCTACATACATACTTTGAAATGTAGTAGGCGAAAAAACAGTATGTGAAAAGTATGTAAAGTTTTCATAAAACAGTACGCGAAAAGTTCCCGGATGACCTTCTACTTCTAGCGAGATTCTAAAGTGTACATCTTATGGACAGTTTACTATTGCGTGAGGCCACAAGAGAGGATTTGTAAATGGAAGTGAAGCGACACAACTGGTAGGTAACATGACAATGAAAACATAATGCAGTTAGGATTACAATCATAGAAAATAATATCAACTTAAATCAATATTTCAAGTCATGTATTTATTTATTTGACAAGTAGTCAAGTAAAAAGCGCTATAATGTCATTCAGTCTTTGTTTTCTAAACATCCTGTTGGTTGTTTATTTTAGTGTGTAAAGCAAAGGTGAGCATGTAAACCTAGTTGTATTTTAGATATGAGTCTAAAAGAGCAAGAGAGACTGGGTTACAGAGCTGGTTGCCTTGGCAACAGAGCATGAATAGACTAAACGAAGCTGCTTCTTGTTGAACATCTCTCTCTCTCGCTCTCTCGCTCTCTCTCTCTCTCTCTCTCTCTCTTCACATATTTCCAGGAGGGTAGATAATGGTGTTGAATTATTTACTAAGACTGATGTCTGTGCTGTAACTGCGCGTGTGCCTGTGTTTGAATAATTCACCGGGTTGTTCCTGAGATCGCTCTCCGTGGCTAGGATCACATGTCCTTCAGTGGGATCCTCTGTAAGTGTGTGTGCGCACAAACAACAGAGACATTGCACAGGAGAATACTTTTGAACTCATATGCTACATGTATTATTTTTTTTTTTACCGTCATTACAACTTTGCCACACACATCGTGTCAGGTTGAGGGCCGAGTCTCCGCTGATGCAGCCATTACACGAGTCAAACTGAGAACAGCCCCCAATGGATGAATCTGTCAGTCCATCAAGAGATAAAAAGTGTAAGCTTATATTCTCACTTGCTCACATGACACTCGCATATGTTTGAGGGAGAAAGCTAGAAATGTTATCAATTAAATGAAAGATAAATAACATTGTAAAAGAGAGAAAGAAATGTTGTGCTGTTCTGAATTGATACAGCTGAATCTCTTGATAAATTTAAGTGTTTTTCAGCAGCACTCAAATGCAAAAGAACAAAAGAGACTTACCGCAAGACCTGCTTTTCTAACTAATGCTGTCTTTTTTTTTCTCAGACTTGACAAATTTGACTCTAAAACCGTGCTTTAATACAAGAACTGATTTATCAAAACTCACAAATAAAATATTTAGGTTGACATTTATTTTTTTATGACTTAAAATCATTAAATAGAATGATTAAAATAACAAAAAAATAAAAGTTAATCAATTGAATATGGGCCAGGAATCAAAGGAGGTTAGATTTGCAGAATGTTAACATTTTAGCTAAAAAAAAACCTAGCTAAAAACAATTTTTTAAGGTTAAGATACTTAAGCATGATATACAAGCTCATTGTTGTATTGACACTTACCTGAGGTTTGTGAATTGGTTATAATAACCTGCGTTAGCAGTACAGTCCCACAGAGTGCGGCCCACACACACCTCATCCTCAAAAAATCGTCAGTAATCCCACCTGTAATAAACACAAACTGTGAGCACAATGCTCAAAGCTCCTCATTTAGAACAGACAATGCTGACTTAAATTATCAATAAAGCGACCACATATGACTGAAACACTATTTAGCTTTGAATCAGTCTAACAATCTTAACTTTTCCTAGTCAGACTTACTCTGCTAAACACTGACTCCAATAATGCAACTAAAGTTTGATACAAGCACTAGACACCAACAAGTTGAAAATGAAACACTTAATGAACTGAGAAACAACTTAACCTCGCTTCAGAAAGCTTAAAACTAGTAACTTAAAGAGTAAAAGCCATAAACACACACGTGCCTGTCAAGCTAATATCCAGTCCTAAATGTCTGTGTCCTCCAGACGAAAGGTCGTTGTGAACTGTGAGGAGCGTGTGTGTGTTGACGTCATGCCCTCTGATTCAGTGAGACTGGAAGGTGTGTAATGTGAGACAGGTAACATGGCAACCAAATGGCAAATGACCATGTCTTGATATCCACACCACTGAAGATATTCTGCCTTTTCACAAGCAGACTGCAGAAATTTGTCACACCTCACTTCCAGCAGATGCTGGTCTCCTGTGCCACCAGACCATTATAAACAGTCACCAGCATGTCCATACTGGTTCTTTTTGACCTTCTTTCTGTTTGATTGTCTCTGGCCCAGAAAAGGTTTTGAGATAAAGCATTGTAGTGTAAAAGACTAAAAGGCTGTGTGGATGCAATGTTTTAAATATATTTTAAATATACAAAAAAAAATTATATTGCTAATGTAGGTTTTTAAAATATATTTGCATAAATATATTTTCAATATGTTTTAGTTACTTATATTAATTACTTATATTTCCTCATTTATTTTTTGGCCATTTTATATGTGATTTCTTGTATATTTTCACACGAAATATATTATAACTATATTTACACAATCCAACATAAATAAAAAAAAAAACATTTTGTTTTTACGCAAAATGCATTTTGAAATTGGAAATGTTTTTTCTTGCTCCACTGAAGTACATTTTGTAATATATTTTGGCATTTGAAGGTTTAAACTAAAGCTGTGCTTTGTTCAACACAATTATTATACATTTGAAATATATTTTAGCCAGGAAAAGCAAATTTTGCTTCATTTAAGAACAGGGCCAGAGCAAGAGAGACAGAGTTTGGCATAGTTACATAAGTTCTCCTTTCTCTATCCCTCAAGTCCTCTGCATCCTCGCATCCTCGTCCTCCTGGATGCTAATTTTTTTAATTGTAATTAAAAGTCACAGCATAATAAACTGAGCAGAGGAGGCGATGATATAAGGAATGTATATGTGTAGGTGTGGGAATGCATGCTTATGTAGGAGGAAGCAGTCTATCGTTGCCACATCTGGGATCAATGCAAATCAGGTCAGCATTTGCTTTTACAATAAATTCAGTGCCTACCCACTGTTCAATTAAAACCCACTGAAAATCTCCCTAACCCACACCATCACTCCTTATACTGTTGTGTAATGTCTCACGATGCACTGACAGATCAATAGGTAGTGCCAAACCGTGTGAATAGAGAGAGAGTGGGCGTCCTTCTCTATGGAGAACTAGGTGCAGAGAGATAAAGCTGCGCATGCGCTCTGCAGATATTAGGTAACTGGGAGAAATTCCGCAGTACACCCCCCACCACACACACACACAGACTTCCCGCCAAATAGAAGCTCAAGGAGATACAACGGTGAAATGTTAAACAGTGTCTGTGCTCTTATTTCTAAACATCCTTTTCAAATGATTCACTCATTGACATAATCTCACAGCATCAAACATACTGAACCCCAGAAATTAGCTTATGCTATATATTTGATTGGTGGAGACACATGAAGTGCATCAGGTCAATAGTGCTTTATTTTATAACAAAATATACAAAATTACTAAAATATTTACAGGTTATCAGGGATGGATAAAATAAACACTCAAAGGGCACCAGCTGGTAATCCTGGAAAGCAGTAACATTGTGCAATGACCTTAAGGAGGTTGTTCACACTGATCCTTAACATTTAGTCTTGTTGGTGTACTCTATAATGTAATTAGGTTGACTGAGTGATTTAAAATGATATATAATACTGTTCATTTAAATGTATTATTATTATTTTATTGTAGAACATACTTTAACCAACAAGACCCCAGTTTAGTCAGTCATAGCAGTTCTTAAAGATGGATTGTTCAATAAATTGTTCAGAATCATCAACTGACACTTACAGCTACTCTCCCTGACCACAGAAAGCTTTAGGCGGTATTGCTTATAAGATTCCCCAGCTGGTGACCACCGGAAGCGCATGTCCTTTTATAGAGAACGCGAGAGTCCCCCAGTATTGTAGCGCTCGCCCACCTGCTTAATTGAAATGCAGAGCCACGCGAGCACTGCGACGCCCACGCGCCAAATCTGCCGGGAAGCGCCATAATCTCCATCATCTGCAGGGAAATTATGTCATGGTTATAACCTTCAGTCACCAGAAAAGTAACATTTAAATAAATGGTAAATTAGGCAGATGTGCGTGCGCGAGTTCCTTGTTTGCGACAGTGTACATTTTAGCTTCGTCACTTATAAAAGGTTATAGATGAGCACGTGGGATTTTATGGTAGAGGTGAAATTAATCGTAGAGTTGTGCCACGTACCCCAATAGTGTGGCACAATTTACGTCACAATCAACGAAGCAAAGCAATGTTTCAGCAGCAGGAACAGCAGTGACTCACTCTCACGCTCTCTCTCAATCACACTCGGTCACGTGCACGCAAATCACACGCTTGATTCGGCCAGCTTTTTGTATTTTGAGATAAGTTTACTAGTTATAAATGTATAGTTTATCAGTGATTTTTTTATGAAGGCCCAGTGTATTTTGGTCCACGCAGGGACTGCCTTTAACAAGGCCGTTTGATTACACTTTTGTCTTCTCTCCTGCCGTCGCAGTGGGCGGGGTGAAAGAATGCGGTATTTTTATGAATGAAATTACGACAGAGGCTGGTGTCCCTGAGAGTCTCCTGATTGGTCGACCGTGGCAGAATCACCCCTCATCATCGTAACTGACGTCAGAGGGGAATCGGTGAGGGTATAGTTCACAGCCCACCGGAGCTGAGTGTTACATCGAAAGACCGAATACAGCGGAGCCACGAAGGAACCTCGCTTTGCAGGAAGAACAAGATATCGTTTTCTCAAGAACTGGATTTGCCCCGGTTCTTCACCGCCAGCTCGAGCTCAGATTTCAGCGCGCGCTCCAAGAGACCTTCAGCTGGATGGTGGCGTGAAGAATTGTCCTTTGCAATCTTCTACAGCTTCCGTAAGTCTGTTTTATGCATCTTTATCTACTCTGTGAATTCTTGTTAAATTCAAGATGACTAGTAGCTTTGCTGTCAGAAATTCGCTGGGCAAATACAGCGAGAATATTCAAGTCAATACGGGATGGGATTTGTGGTGCTTGTGTATTTTACATAACCTCGTATGTTACATCAGTCTGCTTAAAGAGCGCTTTGAACTTAAAAACAGTGATTCCCAACCCTGCACGTTAACCCTGCAGGATTCAGGGGATACCTGGAAATATTTAGTTTGCTTATAAACCTATTAAAATTATGACTTGTGTGTAATTGTTGCAAGTTTATTTGAATTAATATGAATGATAATGCCATATGAATAATGTGAGTTCAGTTTTGGATGATGATAATAAAAGGGGGCAAATACATGTTAGCTTAAAGTTCAAAATTAGCCTTTCCATGAACAGTGACTAAAGAAACATGAATGTAAATGCACATTACCTATACATAGACAAAATACCACATGACACTTAAACACTAAAATAAGGCAATATGCAGTTAATAAACAACATCAAATGTAACCTTCACCAACCCAATATGCATATATACAGACAGAAAAAACAAGACAAAATATTAACATTTTTTTGTATTTTATTAATATAGAAATTGATGAATAATATATTATATTGTGACAGCAAAGTCATTTAGAATTTTAGAAAAAAAGCAGCAGCTGTTTTCAGTATTGGTAATAGTAAGAAATGTTTCTTGAGCAGCAAATCAGCAAATTAGAATGGTTTCTGAATGATCATGTGACACTAATGGCTGCTGAAAATTCGGCTTTGCCATCACAGGAATAAATTATGTTTTAAAATATATTAATAGAAGACAGCTATTTAAAATTTTATAATTAAATATACTTTTTACATTAAAATGGTATTGTAATTGTAATGTAAACTTAAAAATTCAAATCAAATGTGCAATGTATGCATTTTGAGACTGACTAATAAAGTGTTTCATTAGCTTTTGCCTTTGCCAGCATCTCTAGTAGTACAGTAGTGTGCAAACTAGGGATGACAGTTTGAATACGATGTTGTAAACTGCTGTTCATCTTACTCTGCATGTCATTATGAGGTCAGGCCTTGGAGTGGAGCGCAGGAGCTCTAGTGCTCAACAGAATATGTGACAGTCACCGTGCTGTCGATTGCGTGATTACATCTTTTCTCACTCTCCCACAGTAATGGCGCTGAATAACTCTGCAGTGGGCTTAGAAGTCATCTTGGCGATGGACCAACTGTTGGAACTCACCCCTTCCCACGTCACCCCTAAACCCCTGGAGGCCACAGTGATGACTCCATGGGACGTGGCCCTGTGCATATCAGGAGCCCTCATTTGCTGTGAAAATGCAATCGTCGTGGCCACCATCTTCTCCTCGTCATCTCTACGGGCACCTATGTTCCTGCTAATTGGCAGCCTGGCCTGGGCGGACTTCCTGGCAGGGGTGGGACTCCTTTTGCACTTCCTGTCTCGCCGGTGTGTGTACTCAGAAGCTCTAGAGCTGGGGAGCGTGGGTCTGTTAGTCAGCGCGTTCAGTGCGTCCGTGTTCTCCCTGTTGGTAATCACCCTGGACCGTTTCCTCTCACTACATCGCGCTCTGACTTACGGATCCCGCCGCACGCACACGCAAACACGCTGCGCTCTGGCCGTCGGCTGGACTCTTGCGGGTCTTCAAGGTGCCCTGCCTGCCATGGGCTGGAATTGCTTGCACGATGGAGAATCCTGCAGCGTTCTTCGCCCTTTGACCCGAGTGCACCTGGCGACCCTGTGCAGCGGCTTCCTGCTAACCTTGGCTCTGATGCTGCAGCTCAACGCCCGTATCTGCCGGGTCGTACTTCGCCACTCGCATCAAATCGCCCTCCAGAGACACACGCTCCCATCTGCGCGCACGCACACGCGCCGTCGGGTTCACACGCTCGCCCTCATCCTCGCCACATTTGCTAGCTGCTGGATGCCCTTCGCCTTGTATGGTCTCTTGGGCGACGGATCGTCCCCAGCTCTGTATACTTATGCCACATTGGTTCCGCTCACAGGAAACTCTATGCTGAACCCACTGATCTATGCCTACAGAAACACACACATACAGAGAGTGCTGCGACAGGCCTGCTGCTGTTGTCTACCAAACACACCCAACAAAAATACACACACTCCCAGTGATGTCTAACATCATGTGCTGTAAGCACGTCTGAACACTTCGGAAGATTCTATGGTGCCATACAAGATTCCGTTTCACATTTTATGTCTGTTCCTGTTTGGGAATATCACTGTGCCAGTTGCCAAATGTCCTGTCTCAACGGTGTTAACATGACCACTGTCAGTGACCTGATCTCATCTGCATCATTTTATTAAGTGGTACAAAGGGTTTATGGAACTGTGTGTGCCCTTTTTTATTTTATACTGAAGACTGCCACCGTATCCTTTTAGCTAGTAGCCAGCTAAAAGGGTTCACGTAGAAACCCTCCTGTCTGCTTTAATGTCTCAAATTTGTGCCTCATTTTACATCCTCTGAAGTTCAGAGTGTACTGATGGAATCAAAATCATTTGCACTTTACAGACTTGACTTTTAAACTGAAACTTGGTTGAATATTTTTTGTATTCAATTATCAAATTATTTGCCATTTGTTATTCTGACAGATGTTTTTTATACTTCATAAATGTCTTGTTTGCACTTACTATGTATTAATGTTGCACAAAATGTCCAAATGTATGAATGAATGTTATGTTGTTGAAATGTTTTATGGAAAATGTTTATAATTAATAAATTGTAACTTTTGTACATTTTCTGTTGTATTTTTTCAGCAAACTTTTTTTTATCATATAAAAATTAAGATTTGAAATATTAACCCAAATAAATTGGCTTTGAATCAAAGCTATTAAAGTTAACTAATACCATAAAAAAACATCCATTACTCGAAACGAAATATGGAAAAACATTTTCATTTAGTTTAACTAAAATAACTAAAACTGAAATGAACATTAATTAAAATATATAGAATACATGAAAAAAGACATTTAAAAAATGTTTAAAAAGAAACTAAAAATGAAAAAACAAAACATCATCCCTATAACAGTATCTCAATACTAAAATAACACTGCTATAAACATCTAGAATGAAGTTAAATGGTTTTTAACCAACAGTAAAAGTCAACCTAGTCCCTCATTTATTGTGCAGCAGATATTTTTAAGAACTGCAAGGTTGTGTTGCTGAGTAGGACAATTTAGGTCCGTTCACACCAAGATTGATAAATATAACAACAGTGTTTCACACCAAACAAAACACATACGACATTCTGTTTATTAGCGTGCATTTTGTCGTCTGCCACTTTAAATGCTTGAGCTCTTTAAAGATTGTTAGATTTCTGATTGATAATTCATCAGCTGAAAAAAAAAATTGTTCTTAAAGTTGTTCCAATGATATCGTTCCTCTGTGTCATTATAATTATAGGCGTAGTGTGAACTTTTCTTATTGAATTAGAACGATTGTTATTTCAATGTTACAGTTATCGCCATTAGTGAATGGGTTTAAAATCTGTGTATTTGTATTAAAATCTCATTTACAAAGTATAAAATAATTGCCGTGCTGCTGTAGAGTTTGAAGTCTCTAAAAACCTCTGCACATGCAAGCTCAAACATGTAGAAAAAAAAAAATGTTCAGCTATGCACAACACTCTTATGAAACATCTGTAACAGCAGCCAGACACAGTATTATATGTAAGATTTTATTTCAGTTGCTGATAGAAAATTCTCGAAATTATTACCCACATACATCAAATAAAACAATCTCACTTTTCATTGATTTCAAAATCTTGCATAATTTCTAAAACTTTGGCATTAAAACAACAGGCATTATGAAGCAGGCACTTTGGGCTAAACAAAGAAAAAACTACTGGTAGTACTGTGAGGCTGACGCAAACATCATTCAGTCAGACCTGAGGGCTGCCAAACAGCACAGACACAGCCGGATGCCATTTAAACCGATAAAACGTTTGGTCATGGAGCGTGAATACGTACTGCAATGAAATACAAGGTTATTTCATCCTACAAGGTGCAAGAACTATCATAGACACAAACCAACTTACTATTTTAAAAATCTGCATTATAAAGTGTGTCTAGTCTTGGCTGTAAGGAAGGCTTTAGTTGATTAGTTAATACAGAGTAATGTTAAATCATGTGGGATTTTAACAGAAACGTTACGGATGCATCAAGAGGAAAATACGGAAGTACACGTACACACGTACACACACACACACACACACACACACACACACACACAGTTTTGATGTTTGTCTGATATGATACACAATTACACACACACTCTATACTATTCAAAAGTTTTTGTTTTTTTTAAATGTCATTGAAAGAAGTATTTTATGCTCACCAAGGCTCCATTTATTTGATTAAAATGTAGTAAAAACAGTAATATTGTGAACTATTATTACAATTTTAAATACCTGTTTTCTGTTTAAATATATTTTAAAATGTAATTTATTTCTGTGATGGCAAAGCTAGCTTTTCAGCAACCATAACTCCAGCACTCTCCGTTTACCTTTGGCCACATTATACAGAGGCACAGGCGCTCTGAAAAAGGAGAAGGCTTAATTAATTTAGATTAGACTCAACCCTCTGGACACACAGATGCACACACACACAATGTTTGGCCCTCTTCCCCTTATTTGCTTTTGGCCTCACTGCAGGTAAACCGGTAATATGAGAAGTGTGAGGCCTAAAAGGAATGATCTTAATGACATCACACAGGTGATGAAGAGCGAGGCGATAGCTTTACTCAGACCACTCATCATCATCAAATTCGGATGAATCATCCTCAGAGTCGCTGCACTCCACGGCAATGCGACGAGACAGGATGGCTGCGACATCATTTCCCATGTGATCTCTCTTCTCCTGCTCTCGCTGTTCCTCCACTTTACGCAGGTTAAATCCTACACACGCAGACACAATTGCAGCAAGCTCAGACACATTTTAAGAAACATTTCACATGTGTAGAAATGATCTGAAAGCCTTGTCAACTTGTGGTATTAACATCTGTTTTAGGTAAGATAATCATAAGTGTTCACACTGTTCAGTAAGACATTACTCTTCAAACATGGCAAACACTACTGTTCAAAAGTAAGATTTCAATTAAATGCTCACTAAATCATGAAAAGAATCCTTAAAAAAATTTATCGTGGTTTAGCTGCTCAGCTATTTTCTATTAGAATGTGATCATGTGACACTGAAGATTGAAGCAATGGCTACTAAAAATTCAGCTTTGTCATCACAGTCATCACAGACACACACACACATACATACACACATATATATATATAGATACGTCCTCCTACAGTGAACTTCAAGCATCCTGTGCATAAAGTCTGTGGCAAATACATGGCAGTAAGCCTGTGCTTCTGGAGGAGTTTAAGGCAGACTCCCTCAGTGTAGAAGCTTTGGCTGTTGGGAGAAAAGAAGAGCAGATGGTCAGGAAAAGGATCTAAATTCAGAGCTGAGACTCAACCACTGTGCTGAATTAAACCTTGATGATTCATCTTAACTGACTATCAATCATACTTGTTGTTTTATCTAACACTGTGTATTTTTAATCTTTGAAGTGTTTAAAAAGTAAGCTTTGCCAGTTTTCTTCAATAACTTTAATGTATTTCCTTTCCCTAACAAGAGGATTACATGTCTACCAAGAGCTGCTTGAGCTTCCAGACCCCTACACATTGGTCGTATTAGGTTATTTAACACATCACTTCAAACAAACATTAAAAGGTGCACTAAGTATTTTCAGTATTGAAGTGTTTTATGCCTAAACAAATCAATAGTACTTTTAAATGATGTGCACTCACATTAGATGAATCATATCATTAGCCTAATAGCCTATAAAAGCTTTTTAATTTTGGGTAGTTAAAAAAAACAACAAATATTTATAAGTACTAAAAAAAGAAGAAAAAAAATTGGATTTTGTAAAGGAAAATGTATAGTTTTAGATACTGTAACTGGCTATCATTTCTTCAGTTTTTCACTGCATGCACAAAAATTATGATAATATAGAAATGTAACAAATATTTTACATAAGATTATAAAATGCTGTTTAAAGTATGATTTAAAATGTTTTCAATACATTTAGAATCAACAACATAGTATAGTGTAATAGTTCACCCAAAAATGAACATTTTGTCATCATTTACGTTCCAAACCTGTATATGTTTCTTTTCTTACATTGAACACAAAAGAAGATATTTTGAAGAATTTTGAAAAACCAAACAGTTGTACCAAACAGAAATACTATGGAAGTCAATGGGGACCATTAACTCTCTGATTACCAGCATTCTTCAAAATATCTTCTTTTATATTTGACACAAGAAAAAAAACTCATACAGGTTTGGAATGACAGGAGGGTTAGTAAATGATTACTATTTTCATTTTTGGGTGAACTATCCCTTTAAAACGGTTTTTGGAAATTGAAATAAAAACCTAAAATAAAATAAAGATATTAGATTAAAAATGTCAATGTAAAAAAAACTTGCCTTGGCAACTGACTGAAATATGTTTAAGTATTAAAATTACTAGAACTGAAAATAAAATATTAATATAATATAAAATACAATATTTAACAAACTCTAATAAGCACATAACAAAAATGACTAAAGCTTAAGCTAAATTTAAAATGAAAACAGACATTTTAAAAAATAAAACCTAATTCAAAATATTAACAAATAGTATAGTATTTAAAATAATACAATTTTAAATTAACTACCATATTTTTTCTATGAATCATGTTTAGCGGCATCTTTTAAGACAAAGGAACCCAATTATATAATGAGAGATGCTTTTTTAATATTAGATTTCATTTATTGAGATTCTTTTGAGCTTTAAACCACTGAAGAAAAATTTAAATGAATAAAAAAAATTAGTTAAAGGTGACATATCATGAAAATCTGACTTTTCCAGGTTTTAAGTGCTATAATCAGGTCCCCGGTGCATCTACCAACCAAGGACACGTGAAAAAGATTAACCCAGTAACTTTGTTTTGGTAAGCCTTTTTCTGCAAGCCTCTGAGAAAACGAGCGCGTCAGATTTCGCTCCCTTGGTGACGTGGCAAAGGGATCTCATTATAATATTACCGCCCCTTAATCTGTAAGTTTACACCCACGGCGCCGTTATTGTGTTTTCGCAAGCGACAACGGTGTACCAGTTCTAATGCCATGGTGAAAGTTTGAGCAAAACGTGCTAACTGTTCTGTCTTTGGCTGCACAGATGAGCACAGAACACTGTTTAGAGTCCCAGCCTCAGAGGAGACAAGAGAGCAGTGGATTTATTGATTTATTTACTGTATATTGCTTCTGCCACAGATCTAAAATAAACATGCGATTTATTTCCCAGCTGTTTACCT